ATAATTGTAATTGGTGCTCCATCTATCATATTTATTGAAAATTAAAAAAACCCCTAGTTTTCAAAAAGAAAATGCCAAAAGATATAATGCATTTTAAGTTAATCAGTCATTGGATAAAATCCTAGCATTGTATATGATTATCAATTGCAACCCAGGTCTTTTTGCTAGCAGAATATATTCACCCCTGGAGCAACCACTACTGTGCACCACTAGACTACAAACACATGGCTTACTCTCTCACTGGCCCTATGAATCCTTGCAAAATGGAACAGATTCAACAGGAAGGGTGAAGACAGTCCTCACCTAGGAACAGCTTAATAACAACAGTCCAGTCTAGTATCCTGTCTCTGACAGTGGCACGAATGCATGCTTTAGAGGAGGGCTATCCAACTTCTAAGTCCTCAAGGGCCACACCAATGGAAGCTGCTTACCACTTAGACCTCACCAGTTGAGGCATGGGCCATAGAATTGGTGATGCACATGGACTTTCCCCCCACCCCTCTTGCACCGTGTGTTCATGTGCGCACCTGTACTCTCCCACCACTGAACTGGGAACCTCTCTGCCACTGCACCATGTGCCTACACAGACAACCCCAACCACTGCACTGTGTGGACATAACCCCGCCTCCCTGGGCAGCCCCAGGGTCACTGTCAGCTCTTTATCAAGCACACTGTACTGCCCCGTCTCCTGGGGCGGAGACAGGAAGTGGCAGTCGGAGGAGGGAGGGTGACCCCAGAGACTTCAGCTCCTGTTGCCATTCAAGTTAGTGATCCATCTGACCTATGGGCTGCAGGTTGCCAGCTGGATAGCCCTGCTTAGAAGGAGACCATTAAATTGGGTATATCTAGAATGATCTATCCCATGTCCATTACCCTCCCTGGAATCTACCATCATTGATTCAGAGATGCCAGAGGATAAAAACAGTGCCACTGTCAGAGACAGGATACTAGACTGGACTGTTGTTATTAAGCTGTTTCTCAGACTGTTCTTAGAGTCTTGGAGTCTGCAGTTAGGACATTTTTTTGGGAGGAGGGAAATGAGGATTTTTACTATTTGAGGCAGAGGATGACCTGAACCCAAGTTTCTTTCATCCTGGCTTAGGGCTCTAACATATTTCTACTGTATAAAGCAGGGGATACCATGGCCACCTTCTGCTTCCTCTTGCCAAACAAAGCAGTGGCCATCAGTGTTCTGTGAAGAGTCTGATTCTGTAGGCATGCTTTAAGCACAGGCACGGGGATACCAAGTTTGTCGATCCCTAGTAGGGTTTTGACATGAAACAAGTGCTAACATGCTTGGCAATGACATGATTGAGATGATTCTGGGCATGCATAGTGGGAGAACTTTAGGTATCTAACTTGACTGGCTAAATTGCAGACACCTATGGATTTAAGTGAAGGATTACATAATTGGATCCCTGTGTCTAAATACTGTTCAAATCTCATTTTAGGCACTTAGATCTCTTTGTGGAACTGGACTTCTACCTATTTTTGCCAGTGATTTGTTGAGCAAGGATCAAAGTGGTGAATTAAAAGTAGCAGGGATGGAATTGGGGAATAGCTAAATCACAGCAAAGAATTGTTACTTGCTCCACCCTGTTACTGCTGAATACTGATATTGGAAACTCTGGGACACTATTGGGACTGAGTAGGAGGTGGGATTATAAGATATTGGGGCAGGCCTCTTACACATGCACGTACAATTAGCAACAAAACTGAATCCACCTGGTCATGAAGTAAGCTGTAATATTTTAACAACCAAACCACACAGACAGCTATGAGCCACAGGCTTCCTACCCCTGTTTAGCCAATTTAGAATTACATAAACATATTGGCACGCCCCAAAAGCGTCCCACATTCACATTTATTTTCAGGGTTAGGAAGAATTCACTAAGCCTCCCCCACAATTTTCACAAGATTTTTAAAAGTTATCACAAAAAGTTTCATAACATGTCTAAACTGTTTGATTATCATCACCTACTACTAGAAGCCTTTGATTTTTAAATGTAAATGAACAGTCTGAACAGTCCACTGGAAATGGCATCTCTTTGCAATTGTCTTTGTGCAGTTCAGCCAACAGAAGAAAGCACATATTTTGAGTTTTTGAGAGCATAATGGAAACTAGGCAAATCTTTAATTAACAGAAAATGACTATAACATAGCAAGCTAATTTCTATGCCTCCTCACCTCCCCATCAGCCTGCATAACTGAAATATTATTTTTATGCTAAACAGTTTACTTAGTGGTTATCTCTGGGTTGTCAATGGTCTAGCTTGTACCTTGAGAGTGAGAAGGCTATTTAGTCACAGAGTGTGAACTTCACTTACTTAGAAACATCTGTGGGAGATTCCCTCCTACAAATGTGGCTGCTGCCTGTTTGTTGGCTAGTTATCAAATGAAAACTGAAACATCTGCACACCAGACAGCCAGTTACATATGCTGCCACTGCTGAACTATCTGAAGAATAGGACGTATGCTCATTTCTTGACTTAAAGTGAGTGGAGATGTGGATGTCTTATAAGCAGAAAGCTCACAACCTCCTTATGAACTATTTAAGTATTCTTGTAACTGCTCTTTTTTATCTTTTGTCTAATTTTGTTTGCTTCTACATGGATGTGGCAAGTCTTCATACTGTAGTAGCATTAGTGTTACCACATATATTATTAGAGGATAATTTCTTTAGGCAACACTAGGTCTATTTTTAAAGGGTCTAGTGCTAGGTGAATCCAAGAAAATTGGAGTATTATAAATAAATTTTGGCTTGGTTCTGTTTGGTTTGTTTGGTCATTTATGCATGGTGTGGAAAATATATACTTTATAAACCTTTAAAAATAATTATCATTCCTTCCACAACCTCACCCCCCACCCAAAACAAAACCAACCCCCCATGATATTTGGGTTATAGATGACAGATTACTACCATGAAATGGTCACCATTCTGAAGGGTCTGAACTCAGGAATATAATATCATACCAGGGCACTCATGAGACTAGCTAGTCAAAATATCTTAGCAAAACGTATTTTGTAGTGAACAATTTTGTTTTTTGTCAAAAGTGAAAAATTTTACAAAACTACATTGATTTTGATTACATTTTTTCAACCCAATTTTATTTATAACCACTTCCAATAAAACTGGGTATTTTATTTTGCTTCATTCCATGTTCATCTGTTCCAGTTTGAGTTACCCCTATAGCTGGTCACCAGAGACCCCTAAATTATCTCTCAGCTGACTTTGCTACCCTGCAAGAAGTAGTAAAAAATGAGTAAAAAATTATTAAAACATTTTATTTCAAGTTTTGACAGAAAATTCTATTTTTATGAAAAATACAATTTTTTTTTGCAGACTAGAAATAGAATTTCTATTTCTTGTCTGCTTCATGAATGAGTTAGTTTATAAAATGGCCTTTTCCTAGTTAACAGTTTGAAATTAGGAATCTTACAAATAAGTAAATCTTTTATCAAGAGGAAAGGCTCCGCTGCAGTAGAAAGAATGGAATAAAATCAGGTAGTTAAAGCCAAGCCTGAGAAGCAGGCTGAGAGTAGCAGCACGGAGAAGAGGAATAAGCATTGAGCATAACCATTACTGTCAGCATTATAATAGGTATAAGCTACCTTCATTTAGTTTGGGGGTCTGTGAGATTCCTAGGTTGTTGATATTTTTTTTAACCAGTAGGGTCTCCACATAGCTCACTATTAATAGCACCAATATGATTTAGAGACATAAAAAACTCATCAGTGCTCTGACGACATCTATAAGACATATCACAGCATGAAATAGGAGATCATGAAAATGTCTCTCAAGACACTTGTGTTAAGATCTTCACAGACTTTTTATGTTACAGCTGCTGCCCTTTATTACTCTTGCCAGCAAACTATCCACAAAATTCATAACTACAGCTAACACCCATCAGTATGATATCTCTGACACACTACAGGCTGGCTCAAAGTTTTGTCCCTTCTGTTTCTTCTTAGAGTCATCTGTAAGGCCCTGTGACATAATGCACATATGGTTTTTTTTTTAAATGCTAAAATATCCCATTGTTGTTCTAAAATTAAAAATAATCAGTGCCAGCAGCAGCTGAACACCCTGCAATACCCTTGAATATCAAATTAGTGTTTGCATGTCATGGAGGGTAAAGAATGGCAAGAAAACTGACTTCAACTTAGTACTTCTCAGAACTTGTTCAGTGAACATGTTTTTTTCCCCTGGTTTTAATATAGGCTCTTTCTTTAGTCTTGTTTAGCTAATAACACAGTTCCTAACTGATCCACATATCTTGAAAAATTCATATTTATAGACATATAGTTGGCTACCAATGACAGAACTTACAGAAAGAGTAGTTTCCTGTTTCAAAAATATACCACCCAGTGTTTACCTCTCTGGTTGTCATAAGGTTTTGGTATTTTCAGTATTGGATATGTTTAATATATTTATACATTTTCATATATGTATATACCAAAGCCAAAAATTTAAATCTAACAAATGTAGAGCATTCATTTGAAATCCCAAATATTTATCTGTAAATTCTCCTGAGCTCCCTCAATGGGACGGGTTAAGAGGGAACGAAATATAGAAAGGAGACAAGATAAAACAGCTCTGAAAGAACCCTGGATTGGATGTAACATGTAAAATGGAAAGTCAAATAATTAATAGTGCAAAGAGCCATGTTTAAATTTCAGATTAAATTAGATCCAAGTCAAATAAGAAAACCACAAGAAATTATTCATTTGAATGAACATTGCTGGAAAAAAATATTATTATATGCAGCTCATATAGAAAAGAGTTAATTTTTCTTTGGCGTGTAGGTTGTAGCCGTGTTGGTCTAAGGACATAGGCAGACAAGGTTCCTTGGATGAATCTGATATCTTTTATTAGACCAACCTTGATGAAAGATATCAGATTCACCCAAGGAACCTTATCTGTTCATTTTTCTCTGGAATTCTTTATTAGTAAAGGTATGAAAAAATAAAAGGCATACTGAGATTGGTATAACACTCACCTTGTTGAATATCCTTCATTTCCAGATGCAAACTGGATATCAAAATTCCTACAGTTTGAGATCTCTTTCCATCCAGCAATTTGATAATCTGGAATGAAGAAATGAAATGATTTTGTGGATCCAAATGACTAATCTACAAGAACTTTTGTTATTGGCAAAGAGCTAAAAAGCTGATTTGTGAGCTGAATTTAATGTTGCTCAACCATTTTTATTGATTAAATTTGAAATAAAGCTCTGACTAGCTTCAGCAGGGGAAATTTAGGATGGAGATTAGGAGAAACTTTCTGACTGTCTGGGTGGTCGAACACTGGAACAGGCTACTAGAGAAACTGTAGAATCTCCATCCTTGGTCATCTTCAAGGGCAGGTTGGATAGACACTTGGCTGGGACTATCTAAGCAGGGATGGTCCTCCCTTGAGCTGGGGGCTGGGTTATATGACCTTGTGAGGTCTCCTTCAGCCCTACTTTCCTATGATCCCATAATCTTCTCTTGGCCTTGTACACCTATGAATATAGGTGACAAGATAAATGCTAGTTCAAATCATTTAAGCTTTAACATAGATTTCACTTCAAAAGAAACTGCAAATCTTGGACTGCACATAAAGGTGGTAATGCAAGTCAGTTGGAAACATTAATTTATACCAGTAAGGGAAGATCATCCGTTATTTGTTACATTATACCTACTAATAAGGGGAAAAAACATTATGGCCAAGCTGGTCTTTTGCCATACTAGGTAGTCTTCCTGTGCATCGGGATGGTTCATTCTTGCACCCTCAGTAAGGTTTCTTAAAGTTCAACCAGCTTTCCTGGACTCTTTTCCCCCTCAGAATGCCCTCCCAGGGATCCTGCCCATCAGTTTCCTGAGTGAGTTGAAGTCTGCTTTTATGAAGTCCAGGGTCTATACTCTCCTGCTCTCCTTCCTTCCTCCCTTTCCTCAGAATCCTGAACTCAACCATCTCATGGTCGCTGCTGCCCAATGTGCCATCCACTTCTACATTCCCCACTAAGTCTTCTCTGTTTGTTCCCAGATCAAGAAGAGCATGGTCCCTAGTTGGCTGCTCCAACACTTGCAGTAGGAAGTTGCCCCTAATACTCTCCAAAAATTTCCTGGATTGATTGCACAGGGTTGTATTATTCTCCCAGCAGATGTCAGGGTCACTGAAGTCCCCAGTGAGAACCAGGGTCTGTGACGGGGAAACTTCCACTAGTTGTTTGAAGAAAGCCTTATCCACCTCATGTTCCTGGTCTGGGGGTCACCCATAAGGACCTCACCCTTGTTGCTTTCCCCTCCGACCCTAACCCAGAGACTTTCAACAGCCCCTGCCTCCAGTTTCATACTTGTTTCCCAGGCTCTGTGCATTCAAGTACAGACACCTGAGATAACCAGCCAATTGCCCTACTTTCTCAGGAAGAATGAGAAGACATCCCCTGTTGCCACATCCTGCTTGTGCTTTCTCGACTTACCTGGCTACCTACTTCCACACTTAACTCACTATTACTAGTAATAATGCTTAGCTCTTACATAACACTTTTACTGGCATATCTCAAAGCCTGTTAAAAAGGAGGTCTGTATTCTTAAACCCATTTTACATATGCATCATCAAAGCCTGACCTGCTTTAATCTGTATTTCAATAAAACTTGTGAGAGTAAATGTATAACAGGTTCACAGTGTAGAAATGTATCCTGAGAAATTCTGTAAGAAGTTCAATTTTAAACTCACCAGTTCACCCAGAAGTACCAAAGGGATTCAAATGTAAAATGAAAACAGTCACATTTTCCCAAAACTCAAAGAACAAATGAGTTTTGTTCCTCCAACAATTTTTTTTAGTAGCCTTGGCAATGAAGATGACAATAGAGCTGTTTATTCCCATGCTCTGAAGTGTCTTCTGGTTTCATTCTGGGTCATTTAATAGTATAGTCACTCAGCCAATCAAAAATATAAAATTGGAGGTGCCATGGCACCATGGGATGCTTTGATGTCTCATGGGTGCTGTGGGGTGCCACACAATGTTAGCACTGTTAGATGTGCCATCATGATTCATAAGATAAACCCAGAGTTTTCAAATATGAATCCACAGTGTTGAAAATATTCTGACCTGTTGTGGTCTTCTTGAGTTCTTTGCAACAGACTAATTGCTTTATTAATTTTCTGTAGTCAGTATAGAGTAAAAACTTAAGAGCTGACATTTTCCGAAGGGTGCCTTAAGCCTATCAAGAAGTGCCTTGAGTTTAAAAAGGTTGAGAACCACTGGGCTACTAACAATTTTGTCTGACTAAATGCACAGTTAATTATTATTTATCAAGTACTAAACATGTGCTTGACACTTCACAAACAAATAAGAATATATAGTGACTCCAACAAGGAAATTACAAGTTATTTATGATTCTACAGTAAAGGCTCACTACACTATTTAATGAAGGCTTGTTACACTATGCATAACATATTTTATGCCAGCACTGCAAATAAAACATATCCTGAAAGTCTTCCCAGCCTATATTTATGATACTGTATGTTAGCTATTAAAAAAAGAATACAACGTTAATTTATTTTAAATGTTTTCTTGGAACAAGCCAGAATTCATGTTCTGAATTTCCTCAGCACACAAACAGACAAAATGACTTGGCTACAAATTACTGTATATGAATACTTTGCATGCATCCCCTCCTGTAAAATGCGACTGTTCTAGAGTAAATGTTAGGGAGTGCCTAGTTTATCATGGTCATTTCTGAAGCTGTACACGAGTTTGCTGAACTTGGCAGCACATTAACTTCTAACAGGGATAATTATAGGCTCGAGTAGTATGCAATTTGTATAGCATTTACTGACCTCCAAGTTGACCCTGTCCAGGGGCAAATTCATAGGTTGTCATAAACCCCATTAGACATGCCTAGTTTGAGGCAAAACTTTTCCAGACTATACCTCATACAGACAATATGATATTTGAAACCAGTACATTAGGGTACTTCAGAAAATTGTTGATATGCTCTCCAGATATGATCAAATAAACTCACATTGCTAAGCTAGTTTTCCCCCCTTGTAACTTCAGTAAAAAAAAAATTAATGCTACATAATTTAAATGAAAATAGAGGTTCAAATTGTTTAAAAAACCGCATAGAAAAAATACACATGGTCACAATTACCAGAGACCAGACTAGACTCAGACTACCTGAAATAGCTCCAGCCAAACAAAATCTCTGACTAAAGACTAATATTTTATTCATTAGATATCAAGGAATGGCACCAAGAAGACAGCAGAATAGCTTATGTGCAATGTTAAAGTATGCTAAAAATCCCAGTTGTAATGCTATACATTTACATTAGAAATGTTGTCATCATACTTTGGAACCAGTGAGGAACAAGAGAATTCTGCAACTCCCCAGCATATAATCAATATTAAAAATAGGAAATATTTAATTTTCCTTTAATTATTGCTGACTCGGGGGAGGTTTGTGTTGAGGGAGTATAAATATGTACAAAAGGTAGAAAGAGAACATATTCCTACTCCAGGTCAAGAAAAAGCACAGAGCAATTAAATAGGAGTTTGCAGAGACAATCCTGTTACATTTGTTCTATGTTTGTAAAAGATAACCTGGCACTTATCCCTTCTCAGCAGTTTGGGTCTTGCCTGTGGCTGACAGTGACAGGTAAGCTTCTTATATCCTAGCTGACGCCAGTTGATGCTGTTGTGCCAGCTGGCAAAGTTGACTGAGTATTGGACATGGCAGCCAGCTGTCTGCCTCTCCTTTAGAGAACGAACACATCATTGAAATGGACACAGTGTCTTCTGGCCCAATGACAAGAATGTGACTGTTGCTGTTGCTTCATTCCTTATATCTCTTGGTCCATGATATGATTTGTCCTAAGTGGCGCCTACTGGCTGGCCATTTTGTAATGCTATTTGGCTAGTTAATTTGAGGCAAACACGTGTTCTTTTTATGTTGCTTTGCTATTTATCATCTAATTTACAAGTGAAGACATACTGAAGCTTTACTATATTCATATTAATTATTCTGTCATTACCATCAAAAGGTGCTATTCTAATGCTGCCAAAAATATATCCTGGGTGTGTGCGTGCGTGTGTGTGTGTGTATATATATATAACATATATATATGTAAAGTTTAAGTATTCTATCTAACTGTTATGCCTCCATTTTATCCAGGACACTACTGCACAGAATTAGTTTATTTTAGTGAGTAAAAACTAAATCCTTCCCAATGTTGTGGTGCAAGGTCTTTTCTTATTTAAATCCATAAACTAATATTTTGGCCTGTAAATCATAGTGTCTAATGGCCACCTTCAGCCATTAGTTTGTTTTTGCAGTGAAAAACATCTACTTATCAGGAGTTTACTAAAACTCTATTCAGATGCATATCTACGTATGTCCCCAGTCCGTTCTTCTGCCACACACCCTATTATATCCTGGATTAAAAAGACCATCTATTATCCCTTCTACCTCCCTTGCAAGCAGGGCAATATTTAACCCCCACATTTGAATATTTTGTATGATACTCGTAAGTCCTTCTGGAGGCATTTCACTTAAATACAAAACGATGAAAGAAATCTACTATCTTAAAAAAACCCCATTTTAAATGAACAAGCAAATGGCATCTCCCCAAAATAACAGAGCAGAGAAGGAATGAAGATACATTTATCTCAATATTTGTTTTATCATCAAGTTCATAAAAGCACCAATATAAACATTTCATAGCTATGTCAAAGGATATATTCTATAGCTTACATGAGATCATATTTATAACAGTGGAAGACAAGGGAATGTTGTGTACACTCTTTTCAACAGTACACAATACAATGCACTAAGAATAATGATAAAGTAAAAGCAACTAGGAAGAGCATGCACCAGAATTTCATTCCATCTGCTCAGCTTTGAACGCTGTTTATTGCCCCTGTGCAGAGGTGAAGGCAAATCTTATGTTTCAAAACCTGTGAAATTGCCATTCTGCAATATCTGCTTTTCTTGCGGAAACACAAAATGCATTAATTATAGTTTCTCATTTACCAGATAGACAAAAAAACTTGCTGACAGATATATCCCTTTTACTTAAAAAATGCTCTTCATTCAAAATA